TTTTAATAATACCTGTTCAGGGAATCCTCCTCACTTGGGCTGGTTCTTCATCAGACATGATGTGTCCCAGAAGGTTGTAGGCAGGGAGTGGGGAGAACCTAGGCGAATCAACTGGAAGTGGGAGTGGATACCTGTTAAATCCCCTCCCTCCATAAAAAAAAAAATCAAAAAGAAGAAGGGGGGGGGGAGAGTAAGTGGTACTTTCCCTTTTTATGGTAAAGTTTTGCTTAACATCTTCATGCCGGCCGAATGCAAATGTGCGGCCTCCTGGCGTCTGGGCCTAGACGCAGAGCGGCCGCACATTTGCGTTCTATTAAAAAAGAACATATGTGCTGAGAGCGCGCGCCCTGCGCACTCCCAGCACATATGTCCGGTAGTCACGGAAAGGTCCCAATCTCCTCTTTCGATCGGGACCTTTCCCGTTCATGTGATGGCGTCACGGTGGTCACATGACCCTAAACCCCGCCTCCCGGCTTATGAAACCCTTAAAGGGCCAGGGGGCACCGGCGTGAAGGTGTTAAAGATTTCAGACTTAGGTGTCAGGGCTCCCGGGTATGACCAGAGGTGTGTGACTGACGCAGGGAAACGCAGACTTCAGATATGTTATAAACAATGTAATTTATTAACACTAACCATACAAACATAAACGCAGTGCAATACTAAAACCTAACACAGTGCAAACAAACCAAACCAACCACCCACAGATAACAGTACATACAATGCAAGCGTCGTCAGGCAGGCCGGGTCAATATCAGTCGGGCAGGTAGGTACAGGGGGAGCAAGCGAGAATGGTCGGGGTCACAGGCCAGGTTCAGCAGGTAGCGGGCAGCGTGGTACAGAGGGTCAGGCAGAGGAGAATGGTCAGACAAGCCAGGGATCAGAGCAGAGTCAGCAGAGAATCAGACAGGAACAGAGAGCAGGAACAGGATACAGGGCCCAAGAGAAACACAACACCAAGGCAGAGTCTGCAGGTCTGAATGTCCCTTAAATACACCAGTATAATTAGTTCCAGGTGTTTGACTGGCTGCAAGGTTGAGTCTCTGATTGCTGGGAGCACCCGCTGGCCAGCCCTGGTACTGCAGCTCATAAGGCAGCTGAGTCCCACTATTGCTGGCCAGTCCATTCCTGACAGTACCCCCCCCCCCCTCAAGGAGCGGCCTCAGGACGCTCCAAACAGTCCTAGCTGGGCAAAATGTTCCACCGCCCGGGTCTGGTAACTGGCGGGATAGCAAAGACTGGCACACCGGGCAGGACTCTGGGCAGCGGCACTCCGGGCAGAGGCACATCGGGCTGGACTCCGGGCAGAGGCACATCGGGCTGGACTCCGGGCAGAGGCACATCGGGCTGGACTCCGGGCAGAGGCACATCGGGCTGGACTCCGGGCAGAGGCACATCGGGCTGGACTCCGGGCAGAGGCACATCGGGCTGGACTCCGGGCAGAGGCACATCGGGCTGGACTCCGGGCAGAGGCACACCGGGCTGGACTCCGGGCAGAGGCACATCGGGCTGGACTCCGGGCAGAGGCACATCGGGCTGGACTCCGGGCGGAGCGACAGGTCTGGACCCTCAGGCAGAGCGGCACATCGCCGGGACCCCAGGAGGGGCGCAGAGGCCCCCAGGAGGGGCTGGGGCGCCGGACCCCCAGGCGAGGCGACAGGTCTCGGGCCCCCAGCGGGGGAGCGACACCGGGCTCGGGCCCTCAGGCGGCACGGCGGGCGCCGGACCCCCGGGCGGAGCAACAGGTCTCGGGCCCCCAGGCGGAGCGGCGGGCGCCGGACCCCCAGGCGGAGCGACAGGTCTCGGGCCCCCAGGCGGAGCGACAGGTCTCGGGCCCCAGGCGGAGGGCGGGCGGCGCCGACCCCCAGGCGGAGCGACAGGTCTCGGGCCCTCAGGCGGAGCGGCGGGCGCCGGACCCCCAGGCGGGGCGACAGGTCTCGGGCCCTCAGGCGGAGCGACAGGTCTCGGGCCCCCAGGCGGAGCGGCGGGCGCCGGACCCCCAGGCGGAGCGACAGGTCTCGGGCCCCCAGGCGGAGCGACAGGTCTCGGGCCCTCAGGCGGAGCGGCGGGCGCCGACCCCCCCAGAGCGGAGCGACAGGTCTCGGGCCCTCAGGCGGGAGCGACAGGTCTCGGGCCCTCAGGCGGAGCGGCGGGCGCCGGACCCCCAGGCGGAGCGACAGGTCTCGGGCCCTCAGGCGGAGCGGCGGGCGCTGGACCCCCAGGCGGAGCGACAGGTCTCGGGCCCTCAGGCGGAGCGGCAGGGCGCCGGGCCCTCAGGCGGAGCGACAGGTCTCGGGCCCTCAGGGAGCGGGCGGCGGGCGCCGGACCCCCAGGCGGAGCGACAGGTCTCGGGCCCCCAGGCGGAGCGGCGGGCGCCGGACCCCCAGGCGGAGCGACAGGTCTCGGGGCCCCCAGGCGGAGCGGCGGGCGCCGACCCCCCAGGCGGAGCGACAGGTCTCGGGCCCTCAGGCGGAGCGACAGGTCTCGGGCCCCCAGGCGGGGCGGCGGGCGCCGGGCCCCCAGGGGGGGCGCGGGCGACATTGGATCGTCTGGCTGGACAGCGGGCATCGGGTCACCAGGCGGAGCGATCAGGTCATTTGGCTCCCACAGCGGGCACGCGTCACCTGGCAGGGCAGTGGGCTCCGAGTCAACTGGTATGACCGCGCTGGCACTGGGTCAGACATTGGATAGTCTGACTGGACAGCGGGCATCGGGTCACCAGGCATCAAGTCATTTGGCTCGACAGCGAGCACCGCGTCATCTGACAAGGCAGTGGGCTCCGAGTCAACTGGCATGACCGCGGGCACTGGGGCAGACATTGAATCGTCTGGCTGGACAGCGGGCATGGGGTCACCAGGCATCAGGTCATTTGGCTCGACAGCGGGCACCGCGTCATCTGGCAAGGCAGTGGGCTCCGAGTCAACAGGCACGACAGTGGGCACCGGGTCATCAGGTACCGGATTGTCTGGCTCGACAGCGGGCATCGGGTCACCAGGTATGACAGCGGGCACTGGGTCACCAGGCATCAGGTCATTTGGCTTGCCAGCGGGCACCGAGTCAACAGGCACGACAGTGGGCACCGGGTCACCAGGCATTGGATCGTCTGGCTCGACAGCGGGCATCGGGTCACCAGGTATGACAGCGGGCACTGGGTCACCAGGCATCAGGTCATTTGGCTTGCCAGCGGGCACCGCGTCATCTGGCAAGGCAGTGGGCACCGGGTCACCAGACATTGGATCGTCTGGCTCGACAGCGGGCATCGGGTCACCAGGTATGACAGCGGGCACTGGGTCACCAGGCATCAGGTCATTTGGCTCGCCAGCGGGCTCCGCGTCATCTGGCAAGGCAGTGGGCACGAGTCACCAGGTACGACAGCGGGCTCTGAGTCAATTGGCACGACAGCGGGCACCGGATCAGGTACCGGATCATCTGGATCAACAGCGGGCATCGAGTCAACTGGCCTAATAGGATCGTCAGGCTGGATCAGTTCATCATGCTGGGTAGAGGCATCAGGCTGAATGCCGGCGTCCGGCTGAGTAGAGGCTTCAGGCCGAGTAGAGGCTTCAGGCCGAGTAGAGGCATCAGGCCGAGTAGAGGCATCAGGCCGAGTAGAGGCATCAGGCCGAGTAGAGGCATCAGGCCGAGTAGAGCATCAGGCCGATAGAGGCATCAGGCCGAGTAGAGGCATCAGGCCGAGTAGAGGCATCAGGCTGCGTACAGCATCAGGCGAGTAGAGGATTCAGGCTGAGTAGAGGCTTCAGGCTGAACCACGGAAGGCAGGTTCACCGGTTTGGATACTGGCAGGATGGTATTGGTTGGAAAGAATTTTCGCTTTTTTTCTGGTTTTAACTACTGGAGCACTGCAAGTAAACGCAAGTCTGCAAACGAATGGAGCAGCTGGAGACAGAGAAGAACTGGAGGATGGAACAGGAGAGGGAGCAGTTGCTACAGAGGGCTTTTTTACAGGGTTAAAGGCAGGATAGGTGCAGCGAGTGGGAACAGGGTACTGACATGCGGTAGATAGCAGGGCAGGAGGAGCTGTTGGGAATGCAGGAATAGAGCTTTGAGGAAATAGATTAGAAGCAGGACTGGGTTTTTGTAAGCTGACTGAGGCTGGGTGCAACAAATCTGTCCATGTCTGCAGTATGGGTTGAACAAAGCTGAGCTTACACAAAGCCTGTCTGACCAAAGACTGCACTGCGTTTATACAATCTCTTAGTGTCTGTGGTGAACATGTGGAATAACGCTCCAGAAAGTAACCCACATCATCCTCTAATAACCACACCAGGGACTCTACTTGGTCTGCACTAAATGGTGGCAAAAATTCATCCCTGCATTCGGGGGTACCAGATGAAACCAACTCAGCACAAACCTCAATCAAAGGCTGCACCTCAGAGAACTCTGTGCCCTGATCTACTAGAACACGAGCGAGCCGTATACATTCTAGCAGTTCATCCCGGGTATACTCCTTCAGAGTTTGATAAGCATACTCCCTGTCATCAAACACTAGCAGATATAAATACTCATCCTCATCAAGATCCATCCTTCCCATCAACAAACCAAGATGGCTTCCCTGTGCAACCACTTCTGGTCAGGATTGGCCTTGGTGTAATGTCAGGGCTCTCCCGGGTATGACCAGAGGTGTGTGACTGACGCAGGGAAATGCAGACTTCAGATATGTTATAAACAATGTAATTTATTAACACTAACCATACAAACATAAACGCAGTGCAATACTAAAACCTAACACAGTGCAAACAAACCAAACCAACCACCCACAGATAACAGTACATACAATGCAAGCGTCGTCAGGCAGGCCGGGTCAATATCAGTCGGGCAGGTAGGTACAGGGGAGAGCAAGCGGAGAATGGTCGGGGTCACAGGCCAGGTTCAGCAGGTAGCGGGCAGCGTGGTACAAGAGGGTCAGGCAGAGGAGAATGGTCAGACAAGCCAGGGATCAGAGCAGGGTCAGCAGAGAATCAGACAGGAACAGAGAGCAGGAACAGGATACAGGGCCCAAGAGAAACACAACACCAAGGCAGAGTCTGCAGGTCTGAATGTCCCTTAAATACACCAGTATAATTAGTTCCAGGTGTTTGACTGGCTGCAAGGTTGAGTCTCTGATTGCTGGGAGCACCCGCTGGCCTGCCCTGGTACTGCAGCTCATAAGGCAGCTGAGTCCCACTATTGCTGGCCAGTCCATTCCTGACATTAAGGTTGCAAACACTGTGATAATGTGTTAAGATGGAGTACTTCCTGCAAGATATTTTGCTTTTATAAATTCCACTCTTCATTGTTATGACCCCAGTAGTATTTATGCAATGCAGAGTTGGCCATTCTTAAGCAAGGCTAATTGTCAAAGCAACCTATAAAACCTTACCTTAAAAAAAACAAACAAACTATACACTGTATGTGCCTGAGTGCAGTGTTTTTACACCCATGTGCATTAGCCTTTATGCTTGCTGATTTTTCTTTTATTGCAACAACAGAAGTCATCTACAATAAATAAATAACTGTTGAAGCTCTCCTACACAGTTTGATAACAAGTGTAAAATTGAGCAGGGAAAGGTTTAAGGACCCACACAAAAATGAGTGTTTTTTTTTTTTTTTTATTACCAGCAACAATTTTTTTGAACATTGTTAAAAGCGTTATGACCAAAAGACAGGTTACAATATCACTTCCACTGGTGCAGACAGGGGAACGTCGCGCACACGCAAAAAAGCAGGGGGGGGGGGGTTGGGGGCTGAGATGGGAGAGAATAGGAGCCTGCCCATCATAGGAGCCTGCCCATCAGTGCCTCACATTTGTGCTCAGATGGAGGTCCCTCCTCCCTCCAAAATCCAAAGTGGTGAATATTATCGCTCTCAACTGGACATAATGACATAATGTTAGTATAAGTCTGGGTTAACTTAAATGAATCCATTATCTTCATGTTTTGCTAAAGTCTACAAATCTATGTACAGTTGCAAGAAAAAGTATGTGAACCCCTTGGGATTACGTGGAGTTTTTCATGAATTGGGCATAAAATGTGCTCTGAACACGTCATTTAAGTCACAACAATAGAAGAACGCAGTCTGCTGAACATAATACTACACAAACATTAGATGTTGCCATGGTTTAATTGCACATAACATGTAAGCATTCACAGTGCAGGGAGGAAAAAGTATGTGAACCTTTGGACTTAATAACTGGTTGACCCTCCTTTGGCAGCAATACCCTCAACCAAACGTTTCCTGTAGTTGCAGATCAGACCTGCACAACGATCTGGAGTAATTTTGGACCACTCCTCTTCACAAAACTGTTTCAGTGTAGCAATATTCTTGGGATGTCTGCTGTGAATCACTCTCTTAAGGTCATGCCACAGCATTTCAATCGGGTTGAGGTCAGGACTCTGACTGGGCCTCTCCAGAAGGCGTATTCTGTGTGCTGCTGCAGCCATTGTTTTGTTGAATTACTTGTATGCTTTGGGTCATTGTCCTGTTGCATCACCCATCCTCTGCGGAGCTTCAGTTGGCGGACAGATGGTTGTACGTTTTCCTGCAAAATGTCTTGATAAACTCTGGAATTCATTTTCCCATCAATAACGATCCGTCCAGGCCCTGAGGCAGCAAAGCAGCCCCAAACCATGATGCTCCCTCCGCCATGTTTTACAGTGGGGATGAGGTTTTGATGTTGGTGTGCTGTGCCTTTTTTTCTCCACACATAGTGTTGTGTGTTTTTCCCAAACAACTCAATCTTGGTTTCATCTGTCCACAGTATATTTTGCCAGTAGTGCTGTGGAATATCCAGGTGCTCTTTTGCAAACTTCAGACGTGCTGCAATATTCTTTTTGGACAGCAATGGCTTCCTCTGTGGTGTCCTCCCATGTACTCCATTCTTGTTTAATGTTTTCCTTGTTGTAGATGTGTCAACAAAAATGTTAGCATGTGCCAGAGATTTCTGTAGGTCTTTAGCTGACACTCTGGGATTCTTCTTTACCTCATGCAGCATTCTGCACTGTGCTCTTGCAGTCATTTTTTCAGGACGACCACCCTAGGGAGAGTAGAAACAGTGCTAAACTTTCTCCATTTGTAGACAGTCTGTCTTACTGTGGACACATGAACATCAAGGCTTGTGGGGATACTTTTGTAACCCTTTCCAGCTTCATACAAGTCAACAATTCTTGATCGTAGGTCTTCTGAGAGCTCTTTTCTGCGAGGCATGGTTCACATTAGACAGTGCTTCTTGAAACCAGTAAACCCAAAACAGGTGTGTGTTTTTTAAGGGCAGGACAGCTGTCAGCAACACATCCAATATCATCACACTGATTGGAGTCAAGGTTGGCTCACTCCTGGCTCCAATTAGCTCTGGGAGAAGTCATTAAGCTAGGGCTCACATACTTTTTCCTCCCTGCACTGTGAATGTTTACATGTTATGTGCAATTAAACCATGGCAACATCTAATGTTTGTGTAGTATTATGTTCAGCAGACTGTGTTCTTCTATTGTTGTGACTTAGATGACGTTCAGAGCACATTTTATGCCCAATTCATGCAAAACTCCACGTAATCCCAAGGGGTTCACATACTTTTTCTTGCAACTGTATAAATCAGCTCCTCTTATTTCTAAGTCGCTGTCCAGTCTTACGAACTGCTCTTTCATAGATGGAACTGACTGTTGCACATTCTAGCTGCCCTAACCATATGCATCACAAGCAATTTCAGATAGTGCCTGTTTTGGTAGTGTTGAATGGTACAAAAAAAAAATATTGGGCAAGGGAGAAATCAAGTTTGAAAGTGGTTGCCTCCATGTTCATATGGTGTACTCACTCTCAGTATGGTTGGAGAAGGGGGCAGAGTCAACAAACATGGAGCAAAATATCCTCCCCCCTACTAAACAGGGCTGGCAATGATTTGACATGGAAGGATAAAATATATGTAGAAGTAATGGTGTCCTGTACCAGCGGGTACAGAGATTGTAACTATTTTCCTGGATATTGAAGTTTAGGGAGACCTTGTGTATGGTATTGTGAATTTGCTCCCAGTCCTTCTCTGGTAGACGTAATCCCAGCTCTGTTTCCCACATGACAATCTCAAGTTTGCAGGAATATGATCAGACATTTACGCATACTTGGTAGATATAAGGTTTTGCTGTGGGATCCCTTAAAGGCACAGCTTTGAATGGAAAATGTTTCCTACTAGGAGGGATTATTTAAAAAGTGTCTAACTTGTAGATAAATCCACATACGGAGGGTATCTGAATCAGATTTAGATTGCCTATTAAGATACTTGAAGCAATGTTTAGCAGTAATATTCAGGTGTGACCACTGGTCTCTTAGAAAGGAATCCAGGAGATGAGAAAGAACATCGGGGTTACCAAGAAATAATGTTTTTTTACATACAGTTGAAAGCCGCCAAAAAATAAAACCGTGCTTCTGGAATAAGAAAAAAAAACGGTGCAATTACTGTTAGATTAGGACATCA